AAACAAAACAGCTCGTTTTCAGCTGTTGTTTGGTGCAATTTTTCTCATAACATCACAACAAAGTATTAGTTCGAGTTGTTTTCTACCTGCAACAATGAGTTGTTGTTAGCTAGATATTTATGTTCTACTTTAATTTAGCTTAAGTTTAGTTATATTTAAATACGCTTAAAAGTTTTCCATTTAAAAATGGGGGTTTCCACATTTGACGGTAAAAATAAGTATTTCTTTGTTATGGTAGGCAAACATCAAAGGCAATTAAAACCGGCAAAACAAACAACAGACAAACAACTGAACTTTGTTTGCCATCAACTTTTGCTAATGTGTACGCAAAAGTGTTTAGCTGCTAACATTAATTCACTTCAGTTTGTGTTTGTTTAGCTGTTGTTAAATAAACATTGTCAAACTGCACACCTAATCATTTTCATTAAAAATATTTTTTTTGCAAAATAATTTAAACAAATTAACGTTTTTATTTTTTTGAACAGATTAGTTTAACAATGTTTATTTATATGCTTCTTTTCTGATTTTACTTGTAACATTTAGTTCATTGCCACAATTCAATCTAGTGAGGTACGTTCATGGTAACTTTCCAACAGTCCACTTATCAGTGAAAAATTAGTTTGATCTTCACTTAATTGCAATTAGCATTGGAAAGCCCAAATGTCACTTGCCCAGAAAAGTAACTATATTGTGCTTGTACAAATATGAACAGAGTTTGTCGCCGACCAATTTCACTTGAAGGATATCCACTGCTTATCGCTGAGCGGCCAGTCCATTTGTATCCGTACAAAAAACCGGCGCGTGCAAACAAACTACTTTGCACAGCACAGCACAACTTTCCATAAGTAGAGTACAGCAGCAGCAGCTCTCTTGCTCACTAACTGAGCGGCACATCTGTTTAGCATGAACACCAATACCTTTCTTTCCTTTCAAACTGTTTCAAGTGCACTGGCTATCGATTATTAGCCGCTGGCCACTGCGCACACACACACACACACACATCGGCCATTTGCATTGCATCAGTGTGCATTTCCATTGCACTGTGTACACTGTACGACAGGCAGCAGCAAACCTGAAAATCAACTTTGTCTCTTTCATTTCTCCCTCTTTGTCTCTCTCTCTCTATTTTTCAGCAGTGTTGCCCACCGGATTGCAGTGCTCTCCTGCTCTACTGTCCAGGCAACAGCAGCAACAGTGCTGGCTCTCAATGTTCGGCCAATCATCAACGATTAAATAGCCACTGCTTATTACACGTGTCAGTAAGGGGATCACCACTGCGCGCACACACACACACCTGGCACAGTCAATGTACAACAGGCACTGAAACGCAGTAAAGTGAAACGATGGACGATGATTGACTGATAATAGTGGAGAAAAGTGCAAGCAGTAGTTAGTTAGTTAGTTAGTTAGTTAGTTAGTGCACTACTAACATACAGCCGTCTGAAGCATCATCAGTTTTGTGGATCATAAAACGGTTGCTGTGTTTTTGTTTAAATTGTGCGTGTGTTTGTTTTAATGTGTGTTTCAAAACGGCATTAAACGCAATAAAACTTTATTTCTAATTTCTTTTTTTGTCAACTTACAGTACATTGTGCCATTCCGGAGGTTCAACAACACAGGACAGGACAGGTCAGGTCCAGCCAGAGCATGGACATGCGTTTTCTACTGCTGGCATTTGCCTTCATCTACTTCATCTCGTTGACGTTGGCCGCACCGAGACCGGCACCGGCTGTGATTCCTGGAGCTAGTGAAAATGAAATTGAAGAGAACGTAGTGGAGGGCGTCAAGGAGGACAAAGAGGTCGACAAGGGCATCGATGAACTGGTAAGTTGTACTTGTAAAAAGGTTTGGTAGCATTTAATTGAAAATGACAACTACTTTAACAGGACCTCGAGTATGGCCGCTACCTGCAGGAGGTGGTGAAGACTCTGGACGAGGATCCGGAGTTTGCCAAGAAGCTAGAGAACATTACTCATGACCAGATTATGGTTTGTGTTTTTTGTTGAGATATATGATTTCCATAAGATTTTAATCATTTACAAATGTTGCACTTTTGTTAACATTCCACCCTTATAGAACGGCCACGTTTCTCAGCAGATTGCCTCAGTGGCACCTGAAGTGCGCAACAAGCTAGACGAACTGAAGCGCATTGAGTTGGACCGACTGCGCAAACTGGCAATGAAGGAACATGAACTGGAGGAGGAGATCGCCCGAGAACAGCATGGTAATGATAATGATATCGATGAAAATCGCCGATGGCGGTCGATTCGGTCGGGAAGGACTAACAGCCGTTCAATGCAACCAACCAAGCAGCTTCTCGGTAATCCTCGTAACTCACTTACTACACACACTTCACTAGACAACTTCTCTTGATTTTGTTTCATTTTGTTGCCCGTTTAGTTTTTTACTTGTTCTCCTTCCACTGTTGCTTGCTGCTTGGCTTTAGTGTAGAACTTTGTTTTTGGCTAGTTAACTTGCATGAGTGTTCATTTTTACTGTACAGATCATCGTGAGCTTAGTTTTAGTGTTGTGTTTTTGGTTAGTTTTATTATTTTTTGTGTTGCTTTTGTTGTTGTCGCTGTTGCTGCACGTCCCGTTCCTTATTGGTAGAAGTTTTTTACTTAATTGTTTTAGTAGTTTTAAGTATGCTAATTACTGTTCATTACTAACTTCTGCCTCTTTTTTGTGTGTTTTTTTCCCATTGCCATTGGTCATTTTGTTTGCTGAACACACAGGCGACAACAATGCCGCTCACGTCGACCACGCCAATCCGCACACCTTCGAGGCGGAAGACCTTCAGAAGCTGATCCTCAAAGCGACGCACGACCTGGAGGAGCTGGATCGGAAACGGCGGCGAGACTTTAAGCAGTACGAAATGGAGAAGGAGATTCACTACCGCGAGTCGCTGCAGAATCTGACCGCCGAGCAGCGCGTCGAGGCGGAGAAGAAGCACGAGGAGGTGAAACAGAAACACCAGAAGCACAATCACATCAACCACCCCGGCTCAAAGCACCAGCTGGAGGAGGTCTGGGAGCAGCAGGACCACATGCCCAAGCAGGAGTTCGACCCGAAGGTCTTCTTTCAGATGCACGACGTCAATGGGGACGGCTTTCTGGACCAGGAGGAGGTGGAGGCAGTGCTGTCGATTGAGGTGAAGAAGCTGTACAATGAGAAGGACCCCAGCTACGACAAGAACGAGATGATCGAGGAGTACCACCGAATGCGCGAGCACATCTACAAGGAAATTGACGCCAACCACGATGGGCTCATTTCGCGCAAGGAGTTCCTCGACTACACCAAAAGTCCGGAGTTTGAGAAAGACGACGGGTGGAAGGGCATCGAGGAGGCGCCGGTGTACACCAATGAGGAGCTGAAGCACTACGAACAGCAGCGACAGCAGCTGGCGGATCACTACGCCAAGTATGGCGCCTACCAGATGCCCTACCACCCGATGGACGCTCCGCCCTACGGACAACCGGTGTACTATCAGGTAGGTGGTGGTTGATGATTGAAAAATGGTAAAAACAAAACAATGGCATTAACTTTTTTCTTTTTAGCAAATGCCCCATCCGAATGATCCAAACTACGCAATGCACCCCAATGACCCTAACTACGGTCACCAGCAGCAGCAGCAGCAGTACCACCCTAACGGACAGCCGGTGCAGTACATGAACATCCACGCCGCGCCGCAGCACGTTCAGCAGCCGATGCAGGTGCACCACGTGGAGCTGCCGCCGCAGCACTACGTCAACGGTCAGCCGCAACAGCAACAGCAACAAATGCAGCAACAACCACAGCAGCACATTGGCTACCAGGTGCACCCTGGTCAGCAGCAGCAGCAGTACATGGGAAATGTAAGTAGACGTTTTGAAAGGTTAAAAAACACTCAAAAACTTACATCCGTTAAATCTTTCAGCCTAATGTGCCTCAACTGCCACCCGGTCAGCAGCAGCACCAGCAGCAGCCCATGTACCAGCAACAGCAGCAGCAACAGCAACACCCTCAGCAGCAGCAGCAGCAGCAGCAGCCAATGTACAATGCAATGCCACCTCAACAGCAGCAACAACAGTACGCGCCAGTTCAGGGTCAGCAGCAGCAGCAGCAGCAACATCCGGGTCAGTACGCAGTGCCTCCTGCTCAGGTGCACCCCTCCTCAGTGCCCAACAGCAATCAACCTCAGCAGCAACAACAACAGCATTCACCACCGCCACCTTCGCAAGCACAGGCACAACACCACTAAACAAAAAGAATTGCAGACACCAGTTGCTGACCACTTCTGATCGCCCCTAGGACTGCACCGAAACTGTGATGTCACCACCAATCTGATGGGTCCACCCTAGTACACAACAACAGATCTGCTAACAACCAAACTTTTTTCTAAGAACGTTTTCTTTTCTCCCTTTCCTCTTTTTTCCATCTTCGCTGTTTGTTTGTTTTTCTAATTTTTAAATAACAACCAGTAACTTGTAAACACGCATTCGAGATTGTGGGCAAAGCTGATTCAAACTCTCTGATGGTTTCCCTTTATTCAGCCACCAGCTCTAAATGCCATTTCTGGATATATTTTTCTATCTATCTTTGTTTCCTTTCTTTCAACCTTTTTGTACATGTTGTCATTTATGAAGCAAAAACAAGTTGTTTCTCAAATATGTGTGTCAGCACAGTTTTTATTTGAACATCCAGACACACTGTAAAACACACATTCTTTCATTCTACGCTATTAGAGACTTTCATCTTGAAAACGTACTGATCAACCAACATCTTGTACACCGGAACACGACTCACCTTCCACTACCGAACACTACCGACTCCTTCTCTGCATTGTTGTTAACTTTTTTTAGTATTATTTTTTAATAAACTACTACTACCTTGTTTTTGATTCATAACCACAGAAAAACGATGGCATTTTACTATCTACATTTTTTCATTTATTAAGTGTCTACAGTCTGTTCTACAGTTTACAGACAATTTAAGTGCCAATTGGCAATTTCAGGCTTCAGTTGTCACGTTTGTGATTCACCTTGCCCGACAGTGCCTTCTGGTGAATGGGGCCACCCCAGACCTTGAGTCCGTGTTGCAACTCAGCTTGGAGGGCGTCATCCAACTTGGGGCGACTTTCACTGGCCACCGCCTTCCCCGTGAGCATCGTCTCCTTGGGCAGCACCAGAAAGGGCATCAGAAACTGCCTGGCATTCTGCAGCACCTCCGCCTGGTGGTGGGCCACCGAGTAGGAGGTGGGCGGTTTCGCCTGCAGCTGCGCCGTCTGGTGGGCGTTGCTGATCACCGTCTCCACCGAGGGCAGCAGCTGGTCGATGAAGCCCATGCGAGCGCCTTCGATGCCGGAGAAGGTCCGCCCAGTGGCAATGAGGTTGAGCGCCTTTGGGTAGCCGATTAGCTGCACCAGTCGGGCGCCGCCGCCCCACACCGTGGTAATGCCGATGCGCACCTGCACAAAGCCGATGATGGCGTTCTCCCGAGAGAGGCGGTAGTCACAGGCGGTCACTAGCTCGGCACCGCCCCCCAGCGCCATGCCCTCGATGTAGGCGACGGTAATCAGCGGAAGGGCCTGCAGCCGGGCCAGATTGTCCTGCATCAGCGTGATCATCTTCTCGCCCCCCTCGGTGGTGCTAATCTGCCGCACCGTGTCCAGGTCGCCGCCCGAGGAGAAGAAGCCCTTCTCGCCGTACAGTACCAGCGCTTTTCCCTGAGCAACAAAAGTTTTTCCACAATTAGTCTATAATCAAGCATTGTTTCAAAAAAATATAAAGTGTCCACTACATCAGCTCGTACCTCTTTCCACTGTTCAACTTCGGTTAGAAAGTCGGCAAACTGCGCCATCATCGACCCGGAGAAGCAGTTCTTCTTGTCAACATTTCTAATGGCCAACAGTGCAATGCCACTCTCGCCGTCCTTTACCAGGTTGAACGTTCCACTGCAGTCCGGGTTTTGGCTAGAACCGCCTGAATTCTGACCAAGAGCCAGAAACTCACTGCGAATGCTGTCCAGTTTGGCCCGTTTGTTGCTGTTGCTGCCTCCTGTTGACTCTTCGCTTTTGTTCTTTTTGTCCATTGTCAGTGATGTTGTTGACAGGTTAACCGTTGGTGATGAGCGAGTCCTAAATGTTGAGTTGACCAATTGGATGTGGTTGGAAACTCTTTTTACTGTTGAGCACACTGTGGTCACAAATTTCAAGCTTCGCATTGCAGTCTTCCTCAAACACACCAAAATATTTAAATTTTAACGGGCAGAATTTATTTGACAAATTTAAAATATGTTCTACTTTTTATTTTTCAACGCTTCAAAGTAAATGCATTTTTAAAAGTTATCAATCAAAAGCCATCTTTTATACCTTTTTACCCTTTATATCTTTTATAAATGTTAACTTAAGGAAATCAAGCTAGTTTAACAACGTTTTAAAAATGGAATAAACAAAAAAAAGAAGTAAACATTTAATAAAGTATTTAAAAAAGATAAATATAAAATTAACTGTAAGTCTTTATTTAAACTTATTTAAGTGTATTTCCTTGTGAAGATTTAATAAAACAAAATGTATTAAAAAACCTAGGGTTTGGGACATTTAGAGGGTATAAATAACACATTCTAAAAATATTTTTAAGTTAAAGTTTAGAAAATAGTAGGCCATAAATATACTTCGTACTTTTTAAATACTTTAATTGATAATTTTTTTTGTTAAGTTTTAGTTAATTTTTATGTGTTTTTTAATTATCAGTTGTTATTTTTAAGTTAGGTTTTATTGAACACAATTTGTTACAATGATTTTAAACAAATATTTATTTAAAAGGTGTAATTTACTTTTAATTAAAAACTAATTAAAACTTATATTATATCTACTGTTTTATTTTATCATTTTTTCTAATAAAAATAATAATAATATTCAAACTATCTTGTAATAGAAATGTAAATTAGTATGACATATAGCAAAAATATGAAAAGCGTTTGCTTTTTTGTTAAATTTTTATTGTTTTGCAAATTATTTTTTGGCGCGTGGGTGCCTGTATTAAATTTGTCATGCTCTAGATTGTTCAACAACCTGGCAAGTGTCAGTTCCATTCATTTACACATTATTATCTGTATTATTCTTACTGACTGCTTTATGAATACCACCTTTCTTGGTTTCTTGTCATTTTTTTTATAAACAAATTCACATTAGCATTCTTTTGTTCTCAAATTATATTAGTATGCAAACCCGCAATGATTTTTTATAATTGAGTTAAAAAATACCGTTATTTTTGGTTTTTTACGTTTAGTAAGATAAAAATAAATGACAGTCTGTGTTAAAACAATTTAACGTAAAAAAATATTAAATGTAGATTTACTTAACATTTTTAAAAATACACTTAATTATATTTTAATTCATCAAATAACACTAAAGTTTCATTTATATTTTATATAAAAAATTATACTTCATATTTTGTAAAAGCAAAATTTTGTTTTGTTTGTAATTGTTACAGTTTTTAAATTAAAATAAAACTTTGTTTAAAAATAAAAAAATGATGTTAGAATTTTTGTTTATAATGGTAAGCGTTAATAAACGTAGTTAGATTTCTTAATTAACAGTTTTGAATTAATTTTTTAATTATAATGTTTAAAAAAGGTAACTTCAACTTGTTAAAAAAATAAAAAAAGATGTTATTAAAATAAAATTAAAACCAAACATATTATTAAAAATTGTTTTAAAGTTGTTTTTACAATTTATAATAAATTTAATTTTTTTGTAAAAAGTTTAAAATTTTGTTACAATAAAAAGTAATGAATAAATTATTACATAATTTTCAATTTAGATTTTATAACAGTTCAATTGCATTGACCAGCAAAAAAGTAATAACAATCGTGCGTGCTCTGGTTAAACTCAGTTTGTATGTGTTTGCTGAAAATACAATAATAATAATAGTCCTAAAATGATAAGCACTGCTCCCACTTACTCTATTGCAATGAAACCGTTTGCAAACGGAAAACATAAGGATGTTGCACTATGGACAACACTAGTCGGCGATGATTGTTGGTAATTTAAAGTTGTGTTTTCCATCGCCTACCTAGACTTCATCAAATGAACCGATCACTGACTGCTGACGATCAGTGTCTAGCTTAGTGATGTGTGCTATTGCAATGTAATGCAAATCTAATGGCATCACAGTAGTGCTTCCTACAAAAACTATCAAATTAAAAAAACGTTTTGTATAAATTTAGAAATAGCAAAGAACTAAAGATAAAAAAATGCAAAAAATTGATATTGGTGGCTCATCTATATTAAAAACAATTTCAAAGTTTATTTTTTATAAAAAGATTGTTACTAACATTTGTAGTTGTTTCAGTTCTAGTCAAAAACATAAATTTAATTTTTTGTATGAAAACGATAAAATTACAATTAATTTATATTTTTTAAAAATTATTGTAACAAAATTTTTTAATACATTTCCTGCATTTTTAGACTGTACTGTTGCAGTTTGTATGCTTGAATTCAATTAGTAATTAGGCAATTAGTTCTTTTCTCAAGCAGATGAATAAGAAACATTAAACGGCATTATTTATGCAATTAAAATTTGTACACATTAGTGCCAATCACTAACATGACTGCATTGCAAACAAACAATTAACAATTGTTTTTGTTTATTCAAATGATTTCAAATTAGTTTTATTTTTCTCTGTCGTTATAAGTGAAACATGATTTTTGTGAGTAAAAACTTTTTTTTTGGTGATTGGTAACACAGTTTACTGGTTGTGTCAGTGTAAAAACACCTGTGGAAAAACTGCACAATGCAATAAGAAAAAAAACATAGATTGTAAGAAAAACAGCATTGAGGTCTGCCAAATGGCGAAAAAAGTCACATTGGCAGTGAGAGAACAATGGCGGCCATTAATGGGCTACCAGGTTAGCTCGCCTAAAAACGGGGTACCAGTGAACAAAGTGTGCTGTTTCTTCTTAGCTCACTTTATTGCACTGTTCTAAACGGTCCACTAGAAACACTACCGCCAGAAAAGAACAGTCAATCAAAAAAGGCGTCAAACTGCCAAAGTGACCTTCTAAATTGCTGCAGAAGATCTTCAACAATGCAACGAATATTGAAAAAACCAGCTCACAGTGTAGTTGTCGCGCAAAGTAAAGTGTAATACTAAAAGCAAAAAAGACATAACAGTAAAAAGACAATTTTCGTAAGTTTTTTTCAGTGCTTAGCGACTAGCCAACATTGAAATAAGCAATTTTTGTTTAAAGAGAAGACTGAATTGTGAAAAACAATTAGCAAGTAATCAAATGTATACCCCTTCAAATAACCCTTGACAGTTGACTTACTTAATAAGGAATACCAAAAACGAAATAAAAGGCACATCAAATAAAGGTCAAAAAGTGACAATTCAATTGAAGGCTGTCGCTGCATAGAAGTAAAGCTGAGTTGGTCCCAGTTAGTTTTGCAGTCACTACTTGGTAACTGACTTTTTTCAGTGTGCCAATTCAATTGAGGATAAAAATTGTGAAAAAGGTCCCACTCTAGTCTGTCAGTAGGGAATGGTTCAATTTAATTTTCCCGTCATTCTTTTCAGTTAAAATTCTTTTTTCTTATTGTCAATCTTTTTTTACCACAATGCTTGCGCATTGTGTTTTTGCTTCTTTTTTTCCCAATTTTTTTTATTGTTATCATATTGAGAACAATCGCCTGTACAAACAAACTGGTTGTAAGCTTTTGTTGCTGAAATTGGTGTTGTTGTTGTCCTGTTAAAGCAAACAGTTTGTTCTCGTGTTTGCGGTTAAATTATTTTACATTTTTTTCCAGGATAACATTGAAAAGGAAAAATGTTTTAAAATTCACTTTACTTGAAAACATTGGTAAAAAATAAAGTAATGCAAAAAAATTGTTGTTAAAAAGTACTAAGTCAATTTTTGTTAATGAAAGTGTTATAAACAATTTCATATAAGAAATGTTTTTAAAATATCTGTATTCTAAAAAACACATTAATTGCATAACGTAAAAAAGCTAAAATTGTCTTGATTACACACATGTAAATGGTGCCAACAAACGATTGCTGGATAAACCAAGTCCCAACTGTTCTTTCGGTTCTGTTTCATCTAATGTTGTTTACGCCTAGCAAAGTTAAACCGCTGTCCTGTTGCCAAACTGCATTTTGTTTTCTTTTATTAGCATTTTTTGTTTTTAGTAATCCTGTTAGTTTTCATTTCTAAAATTAAAACAAAAATTTTTGATATTTTTTTTAAAAAATGGCACTTATGTTAGCAATAGTCTGAACTGCAAATGCATAAGTGTGAATTATAATTATCAAAACTGTCTTTATCTTTAAATTTAATTTTTTACCGATCATTTATATTGTTGGTAAAATCTAATAAAGTTTAATGAGCAACTGAGTTTAGGTTAAGTAACATTTTAAGAGTTTTACTTTGTTATTAAAGTAAGTGGTTTAGTGCTAATGTATGCTGTTTTGTTAGTGTGCATTTAAATCAAAACCAAAGTATTATTTGTTGCCACTAATAGTATTAAATTGTTTTAAACAAAGTTTTATTTGAGTTCTCAAAAAAATGCTATCTCTAGATTTTTCCAGTGGCCTAGTTGATTTCAAAATGTGAACAAAAAAATA